CCAAAGGAAACCACCTTGCTAATACTGCCCCCCAAAAAATGCTGCTCTAGGAAAGCAATACTCAAACATGCATCATGTTCCAAAGGGAGATTCTCCCAAATGATAATCAGAAAAGTTAAACAGAGACACCCAATATTGGCCCCAGGAAATTAAAAAAAAAAAAAAAAATCAGAAGTCTAATAATTGTTGGTCTGATAAAAGAACTCTGGTTTGGGCCAAAAAACCACTCAGTCTTCCCAGAAATTCTAAAACCCCCACTACTTACCGCTGCACGTGTATTAAACGATGGGTCTACTGACAAGATGAGAGCACTCATGAACAAATACCGGTGGGAAAAGGTTAATAGGACCATGAAAACTGCCTACCCCGCTTACCCGTACCGTTCAATGTATAACCCAGGGAAACCAGTTGGCGCAAATTTAGTTCATACAACTTTCCCGTAACGTAGGTATAAATACGCTTTAGGCATGGTTTGTGTACTTTCTCTCTCGTCTGAGACTCTCCCCTAGGGACAGGCCAATGCTTTCACCGTCACTGAAATTCTGTGACAGATGATCCTACCTGAGGAAGCCCTCTTGAACTTCACAGCAATCAGGGAACCAATTTTAACAGTCAGGTGCTTCCACAAGCGACAACTGTTGCGACGTTTACCATCCTCCATCTGGAGGGTTAGTGGAACACGCTAAGGACACTATTAAGGCTCAGTAGGCATATCTCTAGACACCCTTCCAAATACCAGGGCTGTTAACACTGCCAACAATAGTTGATAGGCTGATAGTCCTGCCGCAAGTCAGATCCACTCTCTCTGGAACTCACGGACTCTCACCCTTTGAATCGGTCACAGGACGTCCAATGCACTTGGCCCCTGCCTCCTCGGGCCCACAGCTGATAAAAAGAGATATACTTCCATGGTGAAAAGGCCTAATCGCTTTTATTAAAAAATAACCATGCCTTGGTAAGTACAATCTTTTTACGCCGCACTTCTGAGAGATGACAACCTTAAGCATTAAACCTTGCAATGCGGAGGTTCCGTGTGTTGGAGAAGATAACTCCAGACTCTTCAACCTCGTTGGAAAGGTCCTTTTCAGGAACTGCTAACCAACCCTTGGGTTGCCCAACTTCAGGAAGAGACTCTCGGATTCGCAGGATACCTGTCGAGAAAGCACCACACCCTGACTGGACCTGCTCGCTCCGTGGTGAACGGAAGGTAAGGATTTCCCAGAATTGAAGGGGCCAACATCTGACCACACAAGCGTTCCCAAGAGATCCAGACTAGGCCAACACACCCTTTTCTCATTGCTGCTTCTTCTCCCCGTCTTGTGGAAACACAAAGCCCTTGCCTGCATTTCCCAGACCCTTGCACAAAGGGGGCAATCGCTTCTTTTGATTATGACCTTTCAGCAATAGCCTGACCGTGACCCTGTGAGAAATTAATTTTTCAATCCCTTTTTGTGAAGCGTTAGAAGGTTCAAAATTCAGGGGCGCCTGGGTGGCTCAGTCGGTTGAGCGTCTGGCTTCAGCTCAGGTCACGATCTTACGGTTCGTGAGTTTGAGCCCCGCGTCGGGCATGCTGCTGTCAGCACGGAGCCCGCTTTGGATCCTCTGTCTCCCTCTCCCTCTCTGCCCTTCCCCTGCCTGCGCTTTCTCTCTCAAAAATAAACATTAAAAGAATTAAAAAAAAAAAAAAAAAAAAGACGACGATTCGAAATTCACAAGTCTTTCTTTCATCGGAAAGGGTAACTGACTGGATTCTCCTCCAAATTCACCGTCTCTGAATTAGCGACCTTACAGGATGTAATCCATTTGGTCACCAACAGCTCTTTTGAGAGAACACTCTTTAAAAAGCCTTTGAAGGTTTGTTCTACGAAAAACTCATCAGCTGTTGCTTCATATTTATACCTGTACTGTATGTATCTTCCCAAATGCAGGTGGTTGATTATAACCACGTGTTTTTGCAATACTTTCTCATTCTTCGCCTATGGCTGCTTTACGCAGCGACTTCCAAGAGGGATACCGGATTCGGAGGTCTGCATTCAGCGAGTGCACCTTCCTCCTCTAAGTTGGACCAACTTAGTTGTCCCAACTGAGTTGGACAGTGCACCCAACTAGGGCGCCTGGGTGGTTCAGTCGGTTGAGCGGCCGACTTCGGCTCAGGTCATGATCTCGCAGTTTGTGAGTTCGAGCCCCGCGTCGGGGTCTGTGCCGACAGCTCGGAGCC